ACACACAGAAACGAACTATAAGATAACAATAGCCATTTTCCTGACCTGGTACAGGACATTTTAAGAAAATATAGTGGGTTGAACCTGGTTTTGTGGCTAGCCAAACCTCCCGCTTTAATGGCAATGTTGAATATAACACTAAAATTGCACCATTACATGACTAAAAATCATGAGAGAATCCAATTCCACCACCAAGTCACGTACAATATGATATTTCTCCATTCTCGAAAGTTAAATTTCAAATATTTTAAAAGCTCTCCAAGCCTTGCGATTGTAATTTGAAACATTAACTGCATCGAGGAGAAAAATATTATATAACACATGATGCAGTGGTAATCTTTATTTATCGCGTTTTGTATATTTTTTCTTTTATGTTTTTAAAATGGGTATTGTCTAAAATCATTCAACAATTTCGAAAGGCAAGTAGGAAGTTTTAAAATAGAGTTAACTATTTTTTAACCAATGTAAGTGTCTTGTCAAGTGATATGACCCCTAATTACTTCCTGATCGAATTATTATTAAGCTGAAAGTAAATTGAAACTACCAAAAAAAAAATTAACTGAGTATTTTGCATGGGACAAGTAAAAGGATATTTAAATTTTTAACACTTTTTGGAATAAAACTGCATTGAACCTCTTTTTCGATTCATCCTGTAAATAAATGGATAGAGGTTAGTCAATACAAAATCTTTAATGCTTTGAGAAAGTTCAGATAACATTTTTCAAGCCGATACTTTACATTAAAAATAAACATAATGTGTCTATAATGACTTCCTATTCATTTAACGAATTCGAAAACTATAAAGTCTGCACAGATTTCAGAGGCGATTTTAAAAAATCATCATCGATACGAGGATTAGGATTAGTAAATCGAATCATAAAGTGATAAAGGCCAAATAAAGTATGAAGTTGAAATGCACTGAGGCCCCAAAAATTATATTTAAGACCATAATAAGTATATTAAATTTTTTCTTACATTCTGGTTTTCAAACTTCCGTGATTCATAAAGAACCGCCAACATTCACTCAAATTATGTTTAGATATTAGTAAAACCATTTAATATCCAGAACAAGATTGTATCACATGTTGCGTCATATATATACAGAGATAATGATATAAATAATATTTATTTATTGAGTATTCTATCTGCTCCTCATATTTAATCAATTATCAAATTATATAAAATTGCGCATGGAAGTTTGATCAATTAAGTCAGTAAACAAATATAATGCAAGTCGTTATCGTATCATTTAGTGTTGTACATTTACCAACGAGGTAAAAATCATTCTTTGAAGCAACACTAAGATGTTATATTCTCAATTTTTTAACTTGCTTTTGTGGTTTGTTTTTGTATTTGGTTTGTGTTTGTCTTGTAGTTATCTTTATTGATTAGATTTGTTTTATATTTGCTTTTTGGTTCTGTTTCTGTTTTTGTTTTTGTTTTTGTATTTGGTTTGTATTTGTTTTGTAGTTATCTTTTTTGTTTAGATTTGTTTTATATTTGCTTTTTGTTTCTATTTCTATTTCTGTTTTTGTTTTGATTTTTTTACTTTTAAATTCTGTACAGTTTGTTATATATAAAAATAAAAAGATGTGGTATGAGTGCCAATGAGACAACTATCCACAAGTGACCAAATGGCACAGAAATTAACAACTATAGGTCCCCATACGGCCTTCCACAATGAGTAAAATCCATACCACACATAGTCAGCTATAAAAGGCCCCGAAGCGACAAATGTAAAACAATTCAAACGACAAACCAAACGATAACCACTGAATTACAGGCTCCTGACATGGGATAGGCACATACAGAATATGGCGGGGTTAAACATGTTACTATACTGCTATATGAAATCTGACGTGAGGTATTACAGTAGATAACATGAGGTCAATAGCCTAGAGCTTACTTTTAGTAGCTGCGGGGCATCGGTGATTAATTGGTCTAAGTAGGTCAGCTATTGTACCACTAGCGTTGTGAGTTTGTACAGATGTGTTGGACTCAACTCTTAATTGACTAGAATTTCAGTTTTCCTGCTGAAGGTCAAAGGTTTCTATGTATCTATATAATATATTGTGCATGTTTTTTTAAAAGTACAGCGGCAAAAAACAAATGATCATAATAATCGTTTTTATTATAATGTAGCTCTACCAAAAGAATTGCCTGAAATGGACCATGGGGACGAATATGATTTGGTTGATATCTCTATATATGAGCTTTCTGATACACTTGACACAGAAACTATTAGTGCTGATGATCCTAGTATTCACAGAAGCTCATTTAGAAACAGGTTTGTTGGATAAAGAAATTTCGATTTTACATATGTGACATTTGAAACAAAAAAAATATAATTTTCATTTTTCGAAATGTTTGAAATTATTTTTAAAGGCCAATTATTTTTGTTTTGCGATGAGTATCATGCATACATCCAAACACAAACATACATGCATTTACAATTATATAATTGGGCGTGTGAGTTTTTGCGACGAATTGAGTCATGTGTTGTTTTTTTAATTCATTTGTCAATACAATTAAAAAGGGAGCGTGGAGAACGATGTACAAAACGGTATTATTTCAATGTTTCAATCATTACATCGAAGTGTAATATACGGCAGTCAAGTTGTTTTCAACATTCAACTTTCAAATTGAAAAAAAATATATTATGAGAAAGAACCCCATGTTTGCACCGATCTGGTTCCCTATTTCAAATCTTAGATGCCGCTCCATTCATCGTTAATTCTACTTACTTATAGAAATTTGCTAATTCACTTAGTAGGACAAGAAGACACATTTTGCATCGACCTGTACCCGATTATTTCACGTGTCTGATTACGGCTGCATGTATCAGAAATTTGAATAGAAATATTGACTGTTGAATATTGAAATGGAAACATTCAATATTGAAACATCGCATGTTGAATAATGAAATCAAATATTGAATGTTAAAATGTAATGCTGAATTGTCTCATTAGAAAGAATACCGAACGCAAATACAACATGTTATTTAAGGAGGAAATAATCCACTCTGATACAAACATAAATTGTCTGCAACCGATATCATCAAGATCAATGAATGTTTGATTGACAAATAAGCTTGGAGGACGTGTTTTTAAAGAAACAATTGCCATTCCTATGGAATTCAACTGTTGAACTTATTGACGACTTTTTCCTTTATTCATACGAGGCAGACTTCATACAGGAGTTTCTAACATCTACTTATAGGAAGAATAAAACGAAGCTAGAATTATCAGTCAACTTCATATTCCGCAAAAAACATTATGCACTCTCACTGAATAATTTAAATTTGTTGAGTTTATTGAACTTGTCTATTCATTGAACTTAAAATAAAGAAATATTTCCTTAATGAAGGGTAGCTGCTTACACGGAAGCTACTGAACCAATAATTTCTAGTGCAAAGTTCAAGTCATCCTTTAGAACGGTTTACTGACGCAATCAGTAATTAGTTAAGCGCTGCGGAATATCCTTGTCAGATGATCACGAATACGTTCCAATTGTGGTAGTCATTCTTTTTTTACTGAAGGAGACCTAACACTGAATATTTTTCTAACAATGAACAACTTGGCTGGAGAAACATGTGAAATATGATCGACTTTCAATATCTGAACACCAGAAATTACCCCTTGTGTCTGATGGGGTTCGTTTTGTTCAGTTTATTTGTTTTTTTATGTAGCGTTTTATAGACTGTATGTCGTTTTTGTTTTGCAATGATTTTGTCGGTCTCTGTATAACTTATGAGTTTTTATTCTTACTTTGGTATCTCCCAACACTACTTTGAAAATAGAATGTTTGATTTGATTGTTCACTGCTATAATCGAAAGTTAAGTATTGCAAATAAATGTTGAATATAAAAATCAAATGTTCAATGTTCAATGTTGATAATCCAATAGCGAAAATTTGAAAGTTGAAAATTTGAATGTTGAAATTGAATATTGAATGTTGAAATTGAATGTTGAATGTTGAAAGCGACTGTTGAATGTTGAAATCGAATGTTCAATGTCAAGTAACGCTACATTTGATTATACGTATACATACTTGTGTAAACTTTATAAAATATAAATACAGATTAAATACTGATCAACATGATAAGAAAAATATATAAGCAGTCTTCAGATGATGCATATTAATTGTCAAGTAGACTTTATCTGAACAGTTGTTGTTACAGTTGTGGTTTGAAGCAACGCAAGCTTGTTTACTAACAACTTTGTTGTTAGAAAAGAGTCATTTCTGCGACGCAGGCAGTAAACACGACTTTCTACTCCTTCGTGCAGAGTTGATAAGATATTGTCTAGCCTAGTCAAGTGGGACAAGTTCACAAAACATTATATAAAAAACTAAAGACTTAGTAACACGAAACCCATGACAAACTGTGGGTTATCTAATGGGGCCCGGAAGGTAAGTGGATCCTGCCCCAATAGTGGTACCCGTCATAACTTTGATAACTTGAACATAAGGAGATGTGGTTTTATTGCAAAATACGATATTAAGTGATTATTTGACTTTGACATTTTATTGTATTAAACTTTTAAAACACTCGGATTTAAAAGCGCTTCAAATCATTAACGAAAAGAGTTTATCTAAAATATATGACAGGTGGACAAAAACAGTAAACGATTACCATGTATCACAAAAAAATGTTTGACAGACAAGATGTTTTTCTTACATTCTGTAACCAGTGAGTGTCACTTCTAGAAGATTGTATAACGCAACCATATCAAGCTTTTAGAAAAAACACGGTCTAATATGATGCTGAAATAACACTTGTGTACAGAATATTAATATAGGAATTAAAATACAAGATATAGATATTAAACTCCAAAATACATTACGCAATGACTGAACAATGTATTCAGACTCGTTTTTTCCTCAGAATGTTAGAGCCTCCCACTTTAACAAATCTTTAACATGGTATATACACAATTTACATAATATTAACTGCCATTTTATTCAGTGATAGTCAATAGTAGTTTATTTGCATATTTCAGGAGGAACTGCTTGTGGTCAATTATATTTTCCTGGATAGTGTTTCCTGCCACTGCAGGGAACTTACTTCCAGATGTCATCGGTAGACGTCATAGTCGAGATGGACAAATTTCTTCAATAGTAACTTTAAAAGCAGCCGTTGGAATTCTTGTAGTATTAATGTATATTAGGTTTAGTCCTGGAAGAATGGAGGGTCTTCAGTTAAAGTATGACATAGTACAAATAATAATAATAGTTTTTCTTCTGATTTCAATCTGTATATATTTAGTTCTTCTAATATATATATCATGTTCTCATTATTTTTGGACACGTTCATACTCCAAACGAAAAAATCTCTTTTTAAAAATGTTCTTTATTGTAATTTTTACACCATGTAACATTGCATATCTTGCAATGAAAGTTAGTATGCATTTAACATGTCAATTTCGTTCAGAAAATGAAAACAGATTAACGATACATATAATTTACGAATGTGTCTTCATCGTTTTTCTAATATTTCAAATGTTTTTTTTGTGTATATCTTCAGGGAAAAATTTGTACAGATCTTGTCTTACTCATTATGCTGCTACAATAGTTATAGCATCAAATGTAGCAATTGTTTTCTATAATTCTGTTAAAAATCACTTTGAAGAGGTTTTACACCATAATGAAACACTCGAATGTTCAAACCAAACAGCTGCATCATTAGTCTACCATTCTACAAAATTGTACCTTGAACCCACAGTCATTGAAAATGCTCTTCTATGCATACTTGTACTTAAAGAAGTATTCTCCGAAAGTCTTGATAACAAAAACTATCAAGATATAACGTCATTAACTCATAACATAAAACATAAAATATTGTGTATCTTTTTATCATCTATGGCTTTTATTTTTCCTTATATTTTACTCAAAATATTGCTTTTTAAAAATAGAAATATCAATAACAATTTCTACTTTTTTCAGGCATGCGCATTTGGAATCGTCAAGTTAATAATGTATACAGTGTTGATTAAATGTTTTCACCTTCTTGCAGTGAAAGGTACATATTACTCAAAAACATATGAAACACCTCTTAAATTAAGTCATTATTTGATTTTATTCAGTGCTTTTGGATCAGAAATTTATTTTGGACTAAATTTTGCTGCATCAGTTAGCATATCGGGAAATAAAAGTTTTGCAGTAAGTAATGTTTTGCATTTTATAACTACCTTTGTACAAACTGTTCTAATCCTGCAGATGAAAGATTATAAAATAATAGATGACCGTCGATATGCAATGTCGATATCAGGTACTTTTTTATTCCTGTCCATAGTTAATTTTGGACTTTGGATATACGACACGTTCCTTGCTACTGAGGATTTTGATAAACATTATTATGCAGGCCAATATTATGGATACACAACAATGATGACACTTAGACATTTATTTGTGCCAATTTTAATATTCTATCGTTTTAAATGTTTCATTTCATTTTTTGAACTATCTGCTTTTATACCGCCGTTTGTGGAACGGTTTCTTTCTTTTGTGGACAAAGTTAGTCCGGGAATATGCTGTCGAAGACGGCAAAATTATGAGCAAATATAACAATTCCTTTTAAGAAGGCATTTTTATTGGCAAAATAATGAAAGGATCATTATATAACGAAAGACAAATATTTAACAGTTGACTTTGGCTTTAATTTTGATCCTTTTTGGTTTTATCAGCTCTAAAACGTTTGTATTATGTTTTTGAAAATATAATGTTTTGGCCATTATCATCACAGAAGATACATAATTTATCCAAATGTGCATCAGGTGTAGTAGTTATTTCATAGTATTTAAAAAGTTATTGTAACACAAACTTATATTTATAGCCAACGATAGTTTACCGATGTTCAAATCAAATAAGCTATATCTAACCATCTTTTCCTTTTTTCATAACTTGGATAATTTAGTGACTTGATTATCAGCCAAATATTCAACACAGCAATTGAGTAATGAAAAAAATGACCACCAATATTAGCTTGTAATTAACATTTAACTTTTGACTTCAGTGTATTTTTGCCATGATGGTATCGTGATTTCGTATAAATGTGAGGTACCTTTGAAAACCTTAAAAACCTTTCAGAATTGATAAGGAGAAAACCAATATTTCTTTTATTTAAATATTATATGAATTCTGTAGAACTCAATCGATTGCAAAAGTTAGGGTGACATTCAACATATTCAACATGTTTAACCCACTAGTACTTTATTAAAGGCAGAACTTGAAGTATAACACACAGTTAAACTTTATTTAATTCTAGAAAGTTAGAGTGGATGGATTCCCCTCATCCCTTGAACGACATACGCCGTATCAACAACTATATCTCTGAACACACTGTCTATCTCAAATAAATATGTCTATTAAAATCTGAACATTAGCACCTACCTATTTTCTGTTTGGAAGAAAGCCATTAAAGGCTGTGTTCATGTGTATATGATAACGAATATTAATTTTAAGTAGTGTACATTATTGGAAAGCTGTTAACTAATAATTTCTTCTTGATCATGTCAATGTAAAAGTTACAAAATTATTGTGAAATAAAATTATCTATTCATCGCTTATTTTTTGGTTGTATGTTTAATAACTATGTATGCCCTGTATTCGATTAAGTGTATGGAGTATTCTATGTTTTTGTCGTTGTATCAATCTATCGGTCCTTCCCGTACCAATGCTGTTTAAGTTAGAGACTGCAACTTGAAGTTGTAGATTGATTAACTTTACGACAAAAGAGATGATTTCAGCTTCCAAATTGTGAACTTTCTATTTCTATGTAGCAATATCGCAGCAGCGCCTGCATACGGAGTATATATCTCCCAATTGATACGATATTCCCGGGCTTGTGTTTCCTATCATGATTTCCTTGATAGAGGATTGCTGCTCACAAGGAAGCTATTAAACCAAGAGTTCCAAATGGTGAAGTTGAAGTCATCCCTTCGTAAATTTTACGGACGCCATCACGAGTTGGTTAACCGTTATGTGATAACCGTTTCACAGATGATATCGGATATGTTCCTTATGTAGTAACTACAATACCCTCCCTTTTCACGAATGTGACTTACCGAATTAGACTATTTACCGGATTTGTAATAACATAAGCAAGACGACGGGTGCCACATGTGGAGCAGGATCTGCTTACCCTTCCGGAGCACCTGAGATCACCCCCAGTTTTTGGTGGGGTTTGTGTTGCTTAGTCTTTGGTTTTCTATGTTGTGTCATCTGTACTATTATTTGTCAGTTTGCCTTTTTTTTTGGCCATGGCGTTGTCAGTTTGTTTTCGATCTATGAGTTTGACTGTCCCTCTGGTATCTTTCGTCCCTCTTTTGAAACATAACATACATGTTCATTATGAAGCAAAAGTATTTAAGTGTGCGCCAAATTTAGTTTCGAACAAATCTGATGGTTCACTCATCCGAATAACGTTTTGGTTAAATTATAAATTAAAGTTTTGATTTGAGTTAGTCTACAATGAAGTCAATGTCATTTCGACTGAAAACTAAGTACACGCGTTTATATGGCATACACTTAGTAGAATGTAGAATGAGCTTTTAGCTTTGATTTCACGATTCATTTTACTAATCAGGGTTACCAACTGTAAACAACTTTCATACCATGGGAGGTTTAACTAGCTATAACACCAGGTTAAATCCACAGTTGTCTTCGGAAAACACCTTTACCAAGTCAGGAGTGTGACAATTGTTTTCCATTAGTTCCGTTGGTTGATAAAATCCATTTTGAATTTACTTTGGAGTTATTTTTTAATAAAATTGAGAATGGAAATGGGGAATGTGTCAAAAAGACAACAACCCAACCATAGAGCAGACAACAGCCGAAGGCCACCAATGGGTCTTCAATGCAGCGAGAAACTCCCGCACCCGGAGGCGTCCTTCAGCTGGCCCCTAAACAAATATGTATACTAGTTCAGTGATAAAGGACGTCATACTAAACTCCAAATTATACACAAGAAACTAACATTAAAAATGATACAAGACTAACAAAGGCCAGAGGCTCCTGATACCATGAAATTGTGATCACATCAACTTGAAACTTATTACACACGGTCAATATGATAGAAACTCTGTCAAATTTTATCCAAAATAGGAATAGGCCTAACATTCATACTTTACAAAAAAACATATACTTTTGTGCTCTTTAAACAAACAAACTGTTCCAACAGAGTTATGAATAAAGGCAACAGTAGTGTACCGCTGTTCGAAATTCATAAATCGATTGAGAAAAATCAAATCCGGGTTAAAAACTAAAACTTAGGGAAACACATATAAGAGGAGAACAAAGACACAACAGAAACACTAAAATGCAACACACACAGAAACGAACTATAAGATAACAATAGCCATGACTTAGTACAGGACATTTTAAGAAAAAAATGGTGAAATGAGTAAGACATATTGTTGCCTTATCTAACATATGTTTATATTTACAATTGTGCTTGTATTTTTTTTTTTTAACTTTATTTATCTATCACTGCAATCACTGAACTTATAACTAAATTTGATGCTAGCTTTGTTACTTTGTATGTTTGCCTATTCTTTGTTGTGTCTTTTTTTTCCATTATTTCATTATATATATATAGTTTAAAAAGCCTTGTTCGAAAATCTTATGAAATCTTCGCTATATTATTATAGTTTTTGAAAGAGCAAAGGTGCAAATGACAAATGAATGATCAATGTATGAAAAATCTAGAGAGAATCATTTCCAGCTAAATTTTCAACTAGTTATATCTCAAATATAAGGACACGGACCTTTCATTTTTTTCTGCTTTTTATGTTCCTTTATTTATAAACTATCAATTCATTACAGACTTTAAAATAGCTTGTTGTTTCGAAACAGAGCAACAAAATGCTTAACATTAAGAAATGACATGAATAATAAAGTTATTATAATATTTGTGATAGTTTTTTACAGTTTGACAAGGTCTAAATACTCCAAAAGCTTAAAACTGCATCATGAAAAATACATACGATCACACAAAAATGTAACTCTAATTATCTAGTTTGCTTTTTGCTTTTTAATCTTACAATGTGTGTGAAGGTTTAAATTTGGTGATGAATTATGGTTAGATAACAGTCAATAAGCGATCCGCTATTACGTGATGTCTTATCACTTTTTATAAATTATCAACGTATTTAAAAGGAGTAACACGACAAATGTCACATGTTGGTCTAGATTTGTATACTATTCCGGAGCACCTGATGTCATTCCCTGTTTTCGTTGCTCGTCTTTTGTTTTCTATGTTGTGTTTTGTATAATGTTGTATTTCTTTTAGTCGCTTTTCGTTTTTTGCATTGTCAGTTCTTTTTCGAATTATGAGATTTAATGTTCTTTAGGTATCCTTCGCCTCTCTTATACATTTTAATTTTAACAATGGAATTAAAACTTGCTGCATGGTATGATACTCTATTTAAATCCATTGATAAGCCACATTTTGTATAAAATTACTGCACTCTCAAAAGTGTACGTGTTCTACACTTTTTCGAAATCTTACAGTTAAGGAAACTTTAATACTATTTTTACAGAGTTTATGTAGGAACCGTTTAAAATTGTTTATCATTTAAGAAGTCAATCGAGTTTTGCGTCATTTGCTTACGTTTGCTCACGTTAACTCCACGTTTTATTTTTTTCATAGTGGTTTTATCATGTTGAATATCTACTTTCTGTGTTTTTCCTTTTGAAATGATTGTCATCAAACAATGTTGGAAAGGATATAGGAAGAGTACAAATAGATTAAAAACTTGTGTACCCATGTAAGTGAATTGTCAAGTGATGTGACATATAAATATTTCCTGATAGAATTGTTTATAAGGCCGTTTATGAATTGTATGTAACACCTGTTTATTTTTAACTTAATGTTTTGCATAGAAAAAAGGTGCAGGTGTACTCTGTTTTCCGTTAATTACTTTTCACTTTGCATAAGTATCCTTTTTATCGCAGTCATGAGAACAATTGATC